GTCGAGATGACATGTCCCCCTCCTCCCTCACCAACTATGGCTCCGACTCTTACAACGACCTTAAGAAAAAGAAAGGCCCCATACCCCGCCAAGCGGAAGAACTCTGTTTGGTGTGTGGGGACAGGGCGTCAGGTTATCATTACAACGCACTAACTTGTGAAGGATGCAAAGGTAAGAAGAATCTTATTTACGCTCTATTAGATTTTTATATATGGAGAAGTGAGAATTTTTCCCCCCATCAAAGTCTCAGTCATATGATAATCTGCTCCGTGAATCTTTAGGTCATTAGACTCTTAGTGGTAGCGCCATAGGATTACAGCAAAGAACCCGGATTTTATCGTGGGTCTAGTAGACATGAAATTGAGTGAATCGTGGGAAGCTGGATCCTCCTCCCGGGGAGTGACAGCCGATGACCTCCCCAGAACGGAGTGGTTGATGGTGGAGAACGTGGGCATGTTTATTTACACCTTTAGCCCTTTTTCACTCAACTGTATATAGGCATCTGGGATGACGGGTGATAGTCTATCAAATCAAATCAAATCAAAGTTTATTCTCTATAAGGATTACAATGCGGGGTTTACAGATTTTGGCTATTGTGTGGGTTACATGTAATAAAATACTAATTACAGAGGGGGCCACTAGAACACCTAGCAAGGGCTAGGCCTTTCGGGCAAACTTAGATTAATTCTTAACCCTAAATTATTTCAAATTGTGGAGTAAATTGACTAAATACTAGTTTGTGAGTTTCGCTATGTGAATGCTTTTGTTTTGGCACAATACATAGTTTCTATATTGGAGTATCACAGGCAAACTTGTGACTAGTTAGGAATCATTATTTTAAGATTAAGATACGTATTTCTGTGCTTATAGTCAAATGGGTGAGCGAGTAAGTGGAAGTGAGCTGAACTTTAAAATAAGTTGAGGTAGGTTAACACATCTTAAACTGTAAATTCAAGTGAAAAAACAAACCATCTCTACCAGGTTACCTGTCCACTGTATAAAAAAATAAATGTCAAATCATGGTGATATGTGTGTGTGTTTAGACTTGAGCAGAACAAGCGAAATATTTACATTTATCTCAGACCGGAGGAGACTCGAACCTACGAACTTTGGGACAAAGTCTACAAACTATACACAGATTATTATTATTATTATTATTATTATTATTATTATTATTATTAATTATTATTATTATTATTATTATTATTATTATTATTATTATTATTATTATTATCATAGGATTTTACAGTTATTCTCTTATTGTAGATATTTTGTAATCATATAAATTTGTAAATATCGCTGTAATACTAGTTTCTTAAAAAAAAGTAGGCACGTGTAGTATTTTTTTTTTAATTTGACACATTCAGTTTTCGTTTGTCACCAAAGCAAGAGTGTGATACTCGGGGCATTGTTCTATCTGTGCATTCCTTTCGAAGAGGCATACTTTGATGCTGGTGAAGAGCATGATGGCTCAAGTTCTTGCTTCACACGGCTAGGGTCTGGGTTCGGTTCCCAGCGAGGGGTAGAAACATTGGGCGTGTTTCCTTACACCGTTTGTCTACGTTCACCCATCAGTAAAATGGGTACCTGGGTGTTAGTCAGCTGGTGTGGGTTGCATCCTGGGACAAAACTGACCTAATTTGCCCGAAATGCTCTGCATAACAAGCGGTCTGTATACCTTGTACATGTACTTGTAGAAATAAAGATATATTATTTATTATTATTATTATTATTATTATTATTAAGGATCAAAACTTATCTCATATTTTGCAGGTGTTATATTCCTACGCTTCTCAGTGAATGTAATTATGAGAATAATACGTTAGCATAACTCCTAAGTTAGTTATGTCGCTGTATAACATTAATGTACACATTTAACATTATTTATAGTAAAAATCGTCAGTGATATCGTATTTCCAAGTGCCTTAAATATCAGCTTTAGACGATGCACGATAGATTGTTGAGTGTCACAATGATGTTAAGCATTTAGAGTGGTTTACTATAACATTATCATCTCGTGTGTCACTGCTGATAACGTGACCTGGATAAACTAACAGCGTGTGGTAAGAAAGAGTCTGCTCTGATTCTGCGGGCGTGGGGACGCCTTGCTCTGCCATCAGAGTATACCAGGATGATGTTTCGGGGGTCAGCACTCCCGCGGCCTGGTCCATGACCAAGACTCGCGGTGGATCAGAGCCTGGTCAGCCAGGCTGTTACTGCTGGCCGTACGCAAACCGACGTACGAACCTGCCCAACTCCCTCTTTGAAGACAGCCAGGGGTCTTTGGTAATCCCCCCGTAGTATCCTAGGAGATAGTGAGCAATCTTACGCCCTTGACACAAAGCATTGTGATATATTTTCCCATCTCTTCAGAACGCTTGTCTTTTATCACTTGCAGACTTTTTAAGCAAATTTATGATTAGTGTAATTATTGTGTCCGCTGGGTACATCAAAGGTCTGGGGTCTAGTTATTACTCTTTATTTTTTTACCCTTCTGTGGATATTCTACGGTTTTAAAAGAAAGCCTGTTGCAGACTCAAATGGAGGTATAGGTGTCCAGCTCGACCGGGGTTTAAGCAAGGTCTACCTGGTCTAATTTCATTGGGGACCGTTTGTTTCCATTTTTTTTCTGTCACCTGGGAGCAAGGCTGGATACAACCTAAGCCCACGGTGACCCTTTAAACTCTGGCACATCTCTCTTTCTACACGCTGTATGACCCTTTGGAATTTAGCGCATAAAATAATAATAGTTGTGCCGTCTAAACGGCTAGTTTATTGTGCACCCCATGTTCATCTCGTAAGAGGTAGCGCAAAAAAAAAAGGATTACAGAGGTCACAGTGGGTCTTTGCCAGACCATACTGAGCATTGTTGCATCATTAGAAAGAAATATTAGTCATTTCGTATTTTACAATTACTCCATATAATGATTGAGAGCTCTCAGATCCACGGGAACCTAAAGGTAAGGCTTAATATATATCTCATGCCGCATTGACCCTTAACAATTCCAAAACTAATGCAGTGATAGCATAAACGGCTCATTCCGTCGTGGTCCTTAATAACCCAACAGCATGATTTAATGAATCACAAACTTACCGCTTGCACTTTCAAATCCCTCAAGGGAGGTTCCTTGACGCTGGTGAGGGGCTCTTGATCTAGGGAATTGGTTTTGTGCTCCGGTTCCCTGAATTGAGCCTGAATACCTTCTATCCCCCCCACATGCGCTGTATAATCCTACGGGTTTAGCGCTCCCCATGATTATAATAATGCACTTTCAAATTCAAATTCAAAGTTTATTCTCTATAAGGATTACAATGCTGAGTTTACAGAATTTGGTTATTGTGTGGTTTACATGTAGTAAAATAATTACAGAGTGTACCACTAGAACGCCTAGCATGGCTAGGCATTTCGGGCAGACTTAAATTAAATCTTAAGTTTAAAATATTACAAAATTATGAGGTAAGTTGGTATTATGGCTAAGTGACTAAATATTAGTTTGTGAGTTTAGCAATGTGAATGCTTTTGTTTTGGCACAATACATAGTTTCAGTATTGGAGTATCACAGGCCAACTTATGACTAGTTAAGATTCATTATTTTGAGATTGAGATTGATATTTCTGTTTATGGTCAAATGGGTGAGTGTAAGTGTTAACCACCAGGTGGTATTCGTGTAATTAGTTGACAGGGTGTATCAGGGAGATAAGATGTTTTCTGATGGTAGTTTTGAAGGTGATGAATGTGTCTGCAGTTTTAGAATTTTCAGGTAGGGTGTTCCAGATTTTAGGGCCTTTGACATACATTGAATTTTTGTAAAGGTTTAGTCGGACACGGGGAATGTCATAGAGATGTTTGTGTCTGGTGTTGTGCCTGTGGGTTCTGTCACAACTATCAAGAAAGCGTTTTAGGTCAAGGTTGATATTAGAGTTTAAGGCCCTGTAGATATAGATTGCACAGGCGCTGTATAATCCTCTGGGTTTAGCGCTTCCCCCTTGATTATAATAATAATAATAATTGGGAACATCTAGTTTGTTTCTATTTACAAAGGGACTCCTGTCCCCTTTTTTTTTTTATCACTAAACTTTGAGCAGTGGCTCAGTTGGAAGTGCACTCACCTCACACACTGTGTCCGTGGTTCAATTCCGGTCATGGGTGGAAACATTAGGCATGTTTCCCGGTGAGGGTAGAAACACTGGGCGTTTCTTGACTCCAGTTGTCTATGTTCCCATCCGTAAAATGGGTACCTGGGTGTTAGTCGACTGGTGTGGGTCGCATCCTGGGACAAAACTCACCTAATTTACCCGAAATACTCTGCATAATAAGAGGCTTTCTATATAGTCAACCTGTGACCCAATCAAACTTTGTTACTATTTAACTTCATTACCTAACAGAATACTCCATTCTACTGATTACACAGCAACACAGTAAATGACCATATGACCTGTCTTTGTAATACTCATTTGTACTAAATTGTTATCTGTTTTACAATAATTTTTGTACCACTGAATATATCATTGCTTAGTTAATCTTAAGTTAATTTTAAGCCTGCCCATAATGCTCTGCATACAAGGGGCTTTGGCATGCTGCACTTTAAAAATTGTATTCCTTGTACTTCTCTGTATCATGTTCAAATTAATAAATAAATAAATAAATAAATAAATAGTAGTGTCATTGATGTCAGCTAGGCCTGTATACCATGTACATGTATCATGACTCTGAAATCGTAATGGTTTGTACATGTAATTGTAGAAATAAAGATATTATTATTATTATATTACACCTGCTGTCCCTGTTCACCTAGCAGTAAATAAGTACCTGGGTGTGAGTAGACTGGTGTGGGTTGCATCCTGGGGGACAAGATTAATAATATCTTTATTTACTACAAGTACATGTACATGATATGCAGCCCTACTTGACATCAATGACATACTACTATATAGAAATCTGCTTGTTATGCAGAGCATTTCAGGCAAATTAGGTCAGTTTTGTCCCAGGATGCGACACTAGTCAACTAACTCCCAGGTACCCATTTTACTGATGGGTGAACATAGACAACCGGTGCAAGAAACACGCCCAATGTTTCTATCCTTGCTGGGAATCGACCCAGACCCTCACCGTGTGAAGCGAGAGCTTTAACCACTAGGACACTCCTCGATGACTCGCTGACTGACTGGTTGTCCTGTGTGGATAACCCTCTTGAGTTACAAACACGAACAAATATTATTTTATCCGTACACCGGGAAGCAGAGCTCGATACAGCGACAGCATAAGCTGCCAGTGGCCTTCACAAACTCAAGAAGCAGCAGGTTACCCCCCTCCCCTCTCAGGCCCTTGATCCAAGGAATTGGTGTTACATTCTATTTGTGAGTCAGACCTGATTACTGTACCTCTCATTCTCAGCGGGTTTGTTGCTTTCCCATACTGTATTGGCGTACAGTGGAAATGTTATAAGATTTAACATATAACACTACAGCCATTGTATCTACAGTAGGTAGTCGGGCTTCAAACACCTTTTATTGTACAGCTATAGCAGCACTGTATGACCCTAGTGGGTTTAGCACTTGGTTTTTATTATAATAATAATGTACAGCAATAAAGGAATGGAGTGGATTGCCTGCACATGTTAAAGCCTGTCCTAGCATGAGCCAGTTCAAGGAAAAGAGCTAAAAGGTACCTAATGAATGAAGATACAAAAAGGGAGAGTGATTTCTTGCATAGCTAACACTGGTATTTGGTATACCTGTTATTTTAAGCTGATCCTCTCCTAAATGTTAATGTGAATAACTCGGTTTACCTTATTCCTAGTGTATCTTCTTTAATTGTAAGTGATTTTCACACTTTTACCCTTTAAAGTTTAAATAATAAGATTATATATATATATATATAT